GGAAGTGACATGTGAATGGCGCGCCCCAAAGAAAATCTGATGGACCCAATAGAATTCGTTGAGTTGGTACGCCCCAAACCGCCCGCCACCGGACCCGCCAGAGCCCCCACCCCGAAGGTGGCGCCCGCCGCGAAGGACTCCAGCTGCCACCTCGCGCCAGAAACCGAGTGGAGGACGTCCCTGGTGTCCATGGAAAATGATTGGTTTGTGTGTACAAGCAAATGTATACTAACATAAAAGGTGCATTTAGTGTTTTATGTGTATATCTATATATATATACATATACATATACATATGCACATATATCCATATGTGTATATATGTATATATATATATTATTCTATGAATATATATTTATATATGTATAACATATACATAATGTATGTATACATAGGGCATAAAGAGATATATATATATATATATATATATAATATGCATAGGGTTATGTGCATGTGTGTGTATGCGTGTATTTTGCAGGGGGGTGGGGGCATGTTTTCTCAATTGGAGACGGGACTCTCTTGTGGACACCATTCACATTGCTGAAGAAGCACCAACCAATTCTCTGGGCCCGGTTCTCCGGTGTTCCGGCCACACGCCTGGCTCGCAAGAGGGCGTTCCATTAACATCTCTTGAGGCAAACCCAGACTAGCACGCTAAGTTTGGTTTTCCGCCATGCCTATCCCACATCCGCCCGGATAAAATAATATTAATTGATTATTTAAAAATAAAAAAATAAAAATGATCTCTCGCGCCTCTGCCCGTGCTTCACGGGAACCTGGATCTCCTCGCACCCAGCAAGAGCGAGGTCTGAAGGTCACCTGGAAGCCCAGGGGCCTTTCTGGGTCCTTCGCCCGTCACCAAGTCACTAGTCACTCCCCTGAAATGACTCTTGCTACGGATCTGAAGCCGGATGAATGCGAAGGAATGCAATCTTCTACAACGCGCTGACATGCGAACAAGTCACATTGCTCCTTTTCATGCAGCCCTCTTCCCAAACAAGTGCCCCGAAACCGCAGCCCAAGTGGACATTGCTGACCCAAGCAATGGAACCACGTCCAGCGCCCAAACTCCGCACCAGGCCGCCACCCGCACACCCGCCCGCGTCCTGCAAGGCCGAAGTCGGGGCGGAAGCCACACCTGCCGGCGCTCGGCTTCTCTCGGTGGCCTCGGGGCCCAAAACCGAAAACTGGGGCGCCGGTACCGACGGTCGCAGAAAAAAATGCTCGATGTTCAAAGTGGGAGTGAGCTGCGCCGCAGAAAAATTGGACAGGAGTCTATTTTGCACCTGCCTTCCTTGGGGGCGAGGATTTGACTCTGCAACCATGAGTGGCCCTGGTGAAACTAAGGCACCCTTTCGGTGGCAATTGCTTTTGAAGGAAACCCGTCCCAGGCAAAAGGAAAAAGAACCAGGGCAACCTCACCCAAAGAAAAAGGAGGTAAAGGCAAAACACGCGCACCACTGGTTCGTCCGCCAAATCACCTCTACGTGTCCACTTTCTCCGCCCCCCCCCCGAAAGCCAGCGCCCCGCTTGTCCGCCTGTGGTGATCTGCTCGAGCCGCTCCACGCGGACGATGGCCACGCAGGCCTGCACCTTGGAATGAAGCTGGCCGTTGAAAGTGCTCATGTTAGCCTTGCGCAAGTTCTAAGTTCTGAGAGACTGCTGTCCCTTTCGGGTTCTTTTTCTGGTTCTCGGTGTCCTTTCTCAAAACGCGACAAAGCTCTTAGTGCGCTCAAAGAGTCAACTTCCCAAATGCGGAGGATCGTGTGAGTTGTAAAGGCCCCCAAACAAATTGAGGGTTCCAGGGCCGCCTCACCATCCCTTTCTACTGGCTCAGTAGTCTTTGTGTATTCCTCGGTACTGGCACAAAGATGTTTTTTAACTGTCTCCTGATCCACATTTACGAGTATTATAACTTGTTGGGAGGAAATCAGAGGAAGGCCCAGGACCAAAGCTGCACGTGCATTGGCGTTGCTGGGGTTGTCAGTTTGAGTTTTCATGGGTCATCACAGGATCTGAAAACAAGCCAGGCGGCTGTCGCGCAGTCGACTCCGATAACTGGATAGACAGATGGAGAGGCAAAGGCATGTAGCTTGTGAAGGAAGTGTCTCAAATGCTAAGGCTGCCGAAAGCTAGCCAAACCAACCGGACAGTTGTGAATCTGTATGACAATTCTGTCAGGCAACATCATGTAATGTAATGGGGAGTACCTCTGCATCAAACTCCTTCTCGCCATACCGGATCTCAGCCTCGTCAACTTGCTTGCCCGCGAGAGCATGTCTTCTGAGAGGGCCTGACAGTAATTCATTGCGAATGACTGGGTATCGCTGGCTGCCACCTGACAGTTGCTCGACAAGCGCATGGTTTCTGCCGGCTCACTGACGACGCCCGAAATCTGCCAACCCCCCTCCTTCACGGCCACACCCTCCCCAATGGGTGCCCCGGCGGCCAAGCCGAGGATCAGGCACCTGGTAGATGGATGGAATATTCTTCCCTTGAAACGCACAGAAACAAAAAAAAAGAAGAAAAAACAAAAAACCACAAAGGATACCCCAAGAAAGACAGAAAGACCTAGCAATTGCCTTTCGGCACGGGAAAGGCTAACCCGAAGCTTGACCAACTCATCGGAAAGTGATCCAGACATCCCACGAGCCACGTTGTCTCGCCATCTGCATTCAAGTCGTACCTACACGCTGCCAGAATCCGGGCAGCCTAGAAGGGAAGGAAGCTCCTTGCAAGCTGTCCTTACAGCGATGCTAGTGTGAAAACGCTGAATGCCCCAGGCCGACTTCACTCATCTGTGCAGAAGGTAGCGTTGATCTTCCATGTACTTAAGGTGTCGCCCACATGCGCCAAAACATATGCCGCAATATTATAGGGACAAGGTTCAACGGGCACACGGCTCAGGCTTTTGCTCAGTTGCACCGCATCTCAGAATCTCGATTCGACTGCGTGCCTCTGATGTCTGGCAGAGATGGTTGCCTTTGGTTGTCTTTGGGTTCCCCTTTTTCGAGCGGATCAGAAGGGGTTCCCCAAAGATACGTATATACATATACGTCATTATGCACATTAATATGGGACGAAAAACAAAAAAAACCCATCCATTGTCTGGAACGGATTCCGTTTTCAAGGACGAGGACCTTCCCTTTTGGGTTTCTTGAGCATCGCAAGGGAATACGTGCGTTGCCTCAAAATTAGGAGACCCCAAAAATCGCTGGTTTCCTTGTGGTTTCCCTGTCAAGGCCGATCCGTTTGGGCGGAATTCTGGGAGACACACCCAAAGCTGCACCCGAGCCCACCCCTAGCCTCGGCTTGGCCATAGCTTCAACACCACCTGGCGCGGAGTTGGAGTTGCTTGGAGAAGCAAACTGATCTCCCTGAGCAACCTGGATCCTTGCATCTTCCAAGTATGGTTGCTTGGTTCCAACTAGCAGCATGCAGCGGTTTCAGGGCTTCATGGTGGAGTCCAACTCAAGCTACGGTTCAAACTACCAGACCTCGTGGTTCCCTTTAAAGGCTCAACAAGGTCGGGGTGTTCCAATCAACAGGCCTCATGGCTTTCGCGGCCCAGGGGTATTAAGAAGCTGGCGGCAAGCGAAGCAACGCCGCCTTTTCTCGCCTCCACTTGAGAAGAATCTCCATGCGAACTTGAGATGCTACTTTGAATGGCCAGGAAAGCGAAATGCTTTATCCTCTCAGAAGGGTTGTGTCGGGAGCATCACTCGCTCTCTCCGCTGGGCCATCCCATTGGCCACTTTATCACTCCCCTTGGTATCTCCGAAAGCCACCAGCGTGCGCTCGTGTTGAAAGGGAAGCCTTCTCACTAGTTGTCTCCCTCCTGATGAGTGGCACCGGTTATAGGAAGTACAAAGCATGCAAAGGAAACAAGGAGCACCTGATCTTCTGAAAATCGAGGACCCCGAAAAGAGGTTGGCACTTGTGTGCTGTACGCGGGTGTTCCTTCGAACACCGCGCAAAAGGGCGTCATTTTCGGGGCGCCAAGCTGACCACTACTCGTCCTTTCCGACAGCTACCCGACTTGACGCGTGCGGCCTGGAGGACATGGAACAAGATGGAATCTTCGGTCTTGAGCCCAGCTGGATCCCGTCAAGTCGCAAGCCGCAAGCCAGGGATTTCGGGCATTGTCTGCATGCTGAAACCACTGTTCAAGCGAGTCAGTTTCGCTAGGGCTGGGTGACGTGTAACTCAACATGCAATCCCTGAGGAAAAAGCAACATCCTTCTGGGCTGAAATCTGCAAGCCAAAGCCCTTTGGGTTGCAACGAGATTTGCCCAACCTCTGAACAAGCTACTCCAGTCATTCAGCGGCGAGACTCCGGTGGGGGGTTTGGGCCTTTGAATCCTGACAGAAAGTGGCAACCTTTTTCGAATGAAATTTCCAGAGCGTCAAGTAAAGCCTGAGGCCATCTCTCTTGGGTTCTTGGGTCATCTTCTCTGTAAGTCGCCTTAATTGGATTTCCGACTTGTCTTGTTTGCTGTGTCAAAGGGGACACTTCCAGGATCTCCTAAAACCGATCACAAATGTGTGCCATACAACACGTGCTAGTGAAGAAGATAATTATGGCCCAGCGCGCTCACACACTTCTAATGCAAACTATCATACATGTGCATGTGTTCTTTGAACATATGGAAACCAAAGGGAACCAACCATCTTGAGCGTTCCCTCATTTTGAGACAAGAGTCGTTTCAAGCCGATAGAGTAGTGATTGGTGGCTAACGCCTAACGCCATGTGACAGTTGTTCAAGCCTCGCACACAGCGAACCCGCGCTGTGGTTTTCGTGGCAGGAGCCTTCGCAGTCAAAGAAAGGGCTAAACCATAGACGCCCCTCATGCACCCGGGTCAACTTTCGCTCCCGCAGCCCCTCGCCCTAGCCCTCTCCCCAGCCCATATTCCTCCAGGTCAACAAATTCGGTATACCAAATCAAAGAGCCTCGGACCCTAACTCCACCGCTCCCGCCGCTTCGACAGGGGCGTCCGGCCGCCGAAATCCGCCGGGGCTCGGTGACGATGATGTTAGGCAAAGGCCTCACGAGAAATCGCTGCGAGGATGCTGCCCATCACATGGGAGGGGGGAAGGGGAGGGAAGGGGGGGGAGACAGGGGGTGTGTTCTACACAGACCCAAATGTCACGCTCTCCCATGCGATTGGTTGCAAAGCTGATCGGCATGGCAGTGTTGCCCCCATGCGCAGCTATGCTCATTTGCTTGGTGACAAGAGTCTCAATGAAGGCCTGTCATCGAAGGAGCGTACCAACAATATGCAAGGAATCAAAAGGGCAGCCGCGCCATTTTGACTACATCGGGTTCCAGAAGAAAAGCCTTCTAGCCCAAAGTCTTTGATTGGAAAGTTGGACTCGCAAAACCTGCCACCCAGCGGCCATTACTCTTTCTCTGGGTCGGAACCGACTTCAAAACGGCTGAAAGGTGCGAACGGCATTGGGCAAGTTCTTCCAGAGCGCTTCAAATAAGGGACCCCATAGAAGCCCTAGAACTAGATGAAATCATATGAATCTCAAGTGGCTTCTTGCGGCTTCAAACCGTCCAGACCCCTCTTGGCCACCCGCCCGGATCCCTCCAGAGCATCCTCCAGCACGTACTGCGGCACCTGCCCGCTTGTGATACTTTGACCGAGCCTATCTTTTGATGTGGTCAGACATCTCGCCGTCAAAAGGATGTTTATCTACACTTGGCAACTGGCAACCAAAAAGGCAAGGCTTGAAATGGCAGCCACAAGCGACCACTGAACTACCTTTTCGGAAGTTAAGGCTTTGGACACACACCTTCTCCTATCTTCCAGCAGGCCGAGAGGTGGAGATTGCATGTGGTTGAGAGGCTGCTGCTCATGCCGATGCACGCATGTCTGATAGGGCTGACCAAATTCAAGAACCTTCCCCGCCTGGGTGGTCTTGCCACTGCCGGTGGCACCACTCACCACGACCTCACCGAGTCGCTTCAAACGTCATCGCTTAGGCCAATTTCAAGTGAGGTTCCTTTTGGTGAGGTCATGTGTCCAAGGGAAATATAGGGAACCCTAGGCGCGGATTTCCTGGTTCCGGCAACATTTGCATAGTTGGGATAGCAAGTATATTGTGAGCACAGCACTCCAAAGGACCACCAAGGACACTACGCGTTGTTGGTGTTTAAGCACCCGAGTTGTTTCGGCACGGAAGGCATCTTTAGCCCCTGAAGGTCAATCAGGGCGCATTGCTTGGCTTTGGTGAGAACGCACTGGATTCAGTGGTCCATGAATCTTAAAGCTGCCCCAGTTTGCACTTCCAAGTTACTGCTGGGGTCATCTGCCAACCAAACAAAAAACATTTGGGCCTCGACCTGGCCTGTCTTTTGCCGACACAGGGGATCTCAAACACTGCACATGCCCACCACCTTTCAAAATCGACATAAAAGGTTACCCCAAATGAGTCTTTTTTACAACTGGGTTTTGTTGGGTGCCACGTTTTGAGAATAATGATTACCTACCTCTGGGCTGCATGCTCCCAACATATACACCTTGCTTGAATATCCTTCTATGCCCCTTACAAACATCACCCCGCCCAAAGGAAACTCACTGCAAACCCCCCAACAGTGATGCTTAAGCCACCAAAAACCGGGGGAAAACAATAGGAGCCCCTGGTGCTTTGGCTGCTTTTTTCTCGAGACGTCGCTGGGCTGCCGGCCACACCTTGTCTGCTGACCTTGGCCGAAAGCTTCCAGAGCCGGCCGGCGACAAATTCGAACGTGACGACTTTCTTTGCGCAGGGCTTCCTTTCCTCCGCTTTTTGAATGACAGCATCTGGACCAGCTGCGGGGAGCCAATTCCGGGGGTTCAGTCTACCTGTCAGAAAACAAAAATCCGGGTACTTGCCCGTTTGCCAGCTTGTACACATAAGCTCTTGGTTGCCAAGTCTTGGTTTCTCCTTACCTGAGTGATGTCCATACGGGAGGCATAATTACAAGTAACCCTATTGCGGCGAAAAACTTGGGAAAACCCGCAAATCGCCATGACATTGCGATTTGAGGGTTTTCCCAAGCTTTTCCAATGTGAAAGTTGCTCCCAAAGTTGTGAGAATTTCCGTGGGCTTGCCACAGCGGCCACCCAGAGCTGCGCACAGCTTTGGATACCTGCACGCCCAGGTTGATTTGGAGAGGGGAGGCAAGCCACGAAGCCTAAGAGGGGCGTGTTCTTTTGTGAAGTGCCTGAGCGTCCAGTCGGGCTGGATTGCGCGATGCGCGCGAGTAAGAACAATTGCCAAGGAATGTCTCGTTCCCTTGAGGTCTACTAGGACCATCTTACTCGTTTACTGGGCATGTCTCCCCCGTGTTTTTCTGGCGGCCGGACATTTGCGCCACCAGTGATGCTAAACGCGAGGATCTGAGGACCCCAAACTCCGGCTAAGGCACATATTCGACCCGGTCAATCAGGGCGCTTTCATTGCACGGACTGCCTCGCCGCACCTGGACTGGAGGGTTTTTGGCAGGGCCGTTGCCACCGGGTTGACTCAGCCTGGGGCAATATGTCTCTCTTCCCTCTTCTCCCCCTTTGCCCAGCTTTCCTTAGCCCCACCAGGAAACCCAAACACAAAAAAGGTAAACTTTCAAACGGAAAGTGACGTTCCAAGATCTGAGGATGGCTTGCCCAGACATCTGCTGAAGGTTGGACCCTCTTTCTGTCTCTTTCACCCACTCCCCAAGTTTTTTGAGCCGAAAGGCAGTGCGCAGGAACTGCTCGCGGTACTCCGCCACCGGCAGACGCTGACGCTGCTGCTGCAGCCTCAGACAATCTCAGCCAGGCGCGAGGTGCCAAAATATCCCCTGGAACGCCGGTGTGCCCGCCCTGCAAAAAACACTGATCTTCGGAAAATGGGCGCGGGCACCACTCAAACCCGTTTTGAGGGTGCTATTCCCGTTGAAACCTGTGAAATCATCATCATCATCATCATCATCATCATCATCATCATCATCATCATCATCATCATCAGCAGCAGCAGCAGCAGCAGCAGCAGCAGCAGCAGCAGCATTCTCTATTGATGGACAACCTTGCCACTTGCTTCTGATCTAGCAAGTGGGCATGACAGAGCACATTCGGCAATGAGCCATTCCTGACAAGTGGCGCAAGCCAGCAAATCAAACAATCATGCTGCAAGCGAACGCTAGTGCTGGGTGCCCCGGAGGTTTTGCTATCTCAGAGAAGAATTCGTTCGACCACAACTTGGTCGGGTGGTACGCGTGCCACCAGGTTTGATGGTTGACCTTTCTGCGATGCCGTGGCTCACGCCCATGGCTCCAAAGCGGCAACCTGAAACCCCATGTGCCATGGCGGCCTTTGTGCCGAGAGAAAGGTCTGGGCTTGAATTTCTGAGGGCACCGACGAAAGAAAATGGAGGTGTGCAACCTACGGCGCCAGGCCGAAGCGCACCCTGGCCCAAGGTCCCCGGCTGATCAAAGGCCTCGTCTTGCATCATGCGCGCCTGCCGCTCTCGGTAGCTCCCCCGCAGCCTCCAGCAATCCAACGAGCGGGCGTTGGCTCGGGGGGGGAAGGGGGCTGCCCTCGTAATTCGTTGCCTTGACCCCAAAACAGGGGCAGAAAAGACAAGCCATTCCTCGGCTTTTTTGGGGGACGGAACAAAACAAGCCCAATCAAAAAAAAGATTAAGGGTGGAACCCAGTGGCTAGCTGGGTCCCAAAAGGAAACCAGGGAATAAATGCTACCCACGTGAAGGGATCGTTCCCTGCAACTGGTATCAAGGCGCGGCCGACTCATTTCGAGCCGGGGGAAGTTCGACCAAGTCTCGGCTCGAACGACCACGTGTGGGTGTGATTGCTGATTGCAAACGGGCCATTCGGCGGACATCATTCGGCCATTTATGCAACCAACCATGTTTGAGGGGCTTCCCAAGCATGTTGGATGTGCCCTCTGCCTTAAGAATCTTGCAATTGTGGCCCCAACGTCCAGGTGTTCCCGTAGAGTCGTTCGACTTCTAACTTCTTTTATTGGCAGCTTTTCAGGAGCATTGATCCTCTGATAACAGCAGAAGCAGAGTCATAAACCTGGAATTCGCTCATGTGTTTGGTCGTTGCTGTTTGGTAAACAATTCATCCCATTGCGCGAGACAAAACCGACAGGATAACAACCACTTGGAGCCGCATCTAGTTGCTTGGATGAAGGACTCGGTTGGATTGCAAAGCAAAACATTCCGCTCTTGGGAGCGATCAATCTTCAACATCCCCAGCTTCCGACCCCTCAGGTGTGTCAGTGGCTGGGTGGTTCAAGCTTGTTGCAGCCTTCGACGCGAGCACCAGCCTGGCTTTTGGGCTTCTAAAGGAAGGCCCCGAAGGAAACAAACTTCTCTCTACTCCTCTGATCATCTGAGCCGTTGAACAGGTTTCAACCTGTGCCTGCTTTCCCTTGAGAGCCCGTTTTAGACCCCGGAAAGTAGCGGAAGGCGACCCAAACACACATCGAGTTGCCCTCGCCTTCCCATCCTCCTCTCAGGCTTCGGGTTGCCCGAGAGGCATCATGGCTGATGACCCTGGAAAAGGGAGCTGCGTCTCTTCGGTTCTACATGGATACAAACACTTGCACAGCCATCCCACCCAAAACAAGCCGAAGAAAAACACCCTCTTGCTGCCTCAAGGAGTTGCATATGGGACTCCAGTTTGGCACATTTATCGATCCATCGATCCCCGAGTTTCGGGGCCTGTCCGCCGCCTCTGAGCTCATCTCCTGGAGCGCCAGCTCGTCCTCACCTGCGCAAGCCCGCCACCCCCCGCAACGACAACGCCCATGAATCGCCAGGATCAAAGGCAAAGGCAACACGCAAACCACCCAACAGAAATACAACAACACCATCAAGCAACAAACAAACAAAAACAAACAACAAACAGACAGACAACAAACAAACAAACAAACAAACAGACAGACAGACAAACCAACAAACAAGTCAGAACTCTCACTATACCAAAGAAAAACCACCCAACAAACACACTGCAGTCTGTGGGTGGAACAAAGTAAAGGGGATGGACGTCGTGAGCTGTCAAAAATCAGGCGCAAAGCACAAATGAGATAGCCAAAAAGCAACAATGAAAAGACAACAAATAAACTGTGCCGATGTCGAAGGTTCCCTCAACACTACCTCGGTGCGGAAAGCCGCCAAAAACAACACCCGCCTGGCTGGACGGAGCCGCGTTTCTGTTTCATGGCCCAAAATCGCCTGTGCCTTAACAGGCGTGCAACCAAAGCACCAATAACCGCAGCACTTTTGAGGTGCGCAAAAGTAACCTGCTTGCAATTCTACAGGGGAACACCCTCCAATATGGTTGACGAACATGAGTCGCCAATGATGCAATGATCTCCATGAAAGGGTCACGTGGAGCATGGGATGCTGGCCGGACGCCCCTACAAATACTTCCCTCGGCATGCCAAGCCTGAGCTCTGGGCTCTCACTCCATGGAGGGAACCGACAACCCAGCCGAGTGATCTGAAACCATTCTGTCGGCCCTTCCGAATCCACGCAAAAAACGGAGGATTTGTGTCTTTTGAGTTGTGGCTCAAATTTTAAGAGCCAGGGTTATGCAGGTGTTGGTCTTTCTTTTCCATTTACCTCCACTTGCCTAGGGGCCATTTTGGGTACATTTGTTTTCAGCCAAAGCGACAAACCAAAAATCCACGGGCCGAGCGCCTGCCATGCGCCCCGAGCTAGGCTGGATCGTCTCTACGTTGCCTGGCCAAAAGGACAGGGGGGAACACTGCCAAAGGGCCAAAAGTTGGAGACTGAGCTTCCAGGCCCCCCGACTGGGGGAACCTGGGATAGGGAGGCTACCAGATTGATGAGCGAGAAAACACTATGACAAGACGGAGACATTCGACAGTGGAGAGGCGGTGAGGCCACAAAAGGACAACAAAACTCAGCTCGGTCATGCTGGCAACCCTTTCGCGCAGTCCTTCCACGGCCGATCGTTTGCAAGGTTTGTCGGGAAAGACCTCGCTGCATCCTTTCAAGCCTGAAGTGACATGTGCTAGCTTGGTGTGAACTTGTGTATACACACGCCATGCTCATGTTTGGTGCTTCTTTCAAGAATCCCAGCCGCCTGGGCCCCTGCGCTGCCCTACTTACCTAACTCTGCTTAGCGGCATGTGCACTCCCGGTTGCAAATTCCGTCCCCAATCCATGCCTTGTTTGCACGCACCACAAAGCCTTTCTGCTGACAGATTGTGTCAGGGTAGACCATGTGTCTGCCCAGATCCTTCGACTCAAAAGGTATCTCTTCGATTCGGATCTCGTGCGCTGAGCTTGCCAAGGATTCTCCAAACATATCCATTGTAAGTAGACATCTCTGGAAGCTGCTCGAGCCGGGCATAGTCACGCATAGCCTCAAACAACTCGCGCTGTCCATCATCTTTCTTGATGAGTCCTTTGGACATCAGCATGCTCTTCACTGCGGTGTCCTCAGGAGCGCGCCTCCATTGCCCGTTGCCCGACAGCAAAGCCACCCGAATCTTACTCATCATCTCGGCCGGCGTGTCGGACACATCCGGCAGAGCGCACTGCTTGCGGAGATTTCGCTTGTTTCTCGTATTGTTGATGAACACCTTCATACTTTCGATGTGGTCGTTATTCAAGTAAGTATCCCAGTATCCTAAATTCTGTAGGACATGTAGCACCATGTCTTGGGAGTTCGGCACAATGAAAGGTCCGCCACCCAAAAAGATGCTCTTGGACGTGCTGTTCCCATATGTCCGCAAATCTCGTTGGGAAAGCCTGCCAGTGCTACATCCCCTTGGCAGCACAAAGGCAAAATCATTACTATGCGTCTGCCATCTGGCAGATGCAGCGGTGTGGGTCAAGAGATGGTGTAGGCTCCTTCCAGCAAGCCATCCAGGAAACACTGGAATGGGGCCCAGTGAATGCTGATACCAAAACTTGGCAATTGGTGCCACCAACTCAAATATCATCATGTCCTGCTCACCTGCAAACTTCCAGCGCTGCAAAAAGCTTCGTGCCTCCGCAATGGCTTGGTCGGTGAGCTCATCAGTATCGAGATGCTGTTCAAGGCTGACCTTTCCTCTACCATCAGCTTCAAGTACGGCTCGGACACCGACTTCCGCTGCCCTTTGCGGAGGCTCCAAAATAATGGTTCTCGCGTGCTCCCCCTCGTACAGCAATCTTGCTGAATATGAGAGATGCTTTTGCATAATCACCACGCATTCTTTGCCAGCAGATCGTACCTGCCGCACAAGTTCCACAAACCCCGAGTCGTTTGTAAGCAGGGCCACGCAGCGGGTGCCTTGATCATCAGCGACCCTAAGAGCTGCGGATTTGATGGCCTCATCTGTCGGATCGAGCATACCTCCTACACGGTCAACCGCTTGAAAGCGCACACCCTTGGACTCAAAGAAGTTGCCCCACTTCTTGTTCTGGCTTTGAAGTGGAGGTGCAAAAACCGTGACCTGCAGCTGCTGCCCCTGAAAAACTCGCATGGCACTCTTGATATGCTCGATGTTTTGACTGTCAGCATCCACCAGGAGGTGCGTCAGGCCCTGCGAAAACCTCCGCGTGAGGCGCGCGAACCTGAACTTGAAGCTCCTCTGACTGGCCCAGAGGCTCATCTGAAGGACAGAGGTAAGCTTCAACTAGCTTCCTCTTTTGGACATTTGGGAGGGCGCTGGCTCAGCAAGAAAAACAAATGCCAGATCGAGAACTCTGAGCCCCAAATGGCTGAAGTGACAGGGGGAAGCCACAAATGGCTGAAGCGCTTTGCTCTTGCCTGGAAAGCAAGAACTGCCAAAGGGATCAGAAGCACCTGCAAGAAATACAACCCATAGATCCCACAAACATATCTCCTTGAGGCACCCGTTCCCGACCTTGAACACTGGATTCAAGCTCCGCTCTTACAGTTCCTGGCCTAGCCCCAGATTCGCCTGCAGAGTTGCCGGCCTCGGCAACTCGTGAGCCCTGGCAGCCCAATCGTGACCCGAAGGATGGCAACCTCTGAGTACAAACCTTATCTTCCGATGAGGAAAGGAACGGCCGGCTAGACTTTTGGCTTCTTTGGAGACCGGTCTTAGCGGAAGGTTCCCCATACGGGAAACACTCGCCGGTGATTGATTTAGGGCTTCGTTGAATACCACTTGGATGCAAGCAGCCACATTGGGACTGAGGAGGTCTCTAATGGGAGAAGAATAACGAACCCAAAAGCATCCTGGGAGGCATTCCACCCTCTACAAATGATAAGCTAATGTGTCGGTTCTGTCTTCCTCAAAATGGCCGTAGCGCTAACGGGCCCGCCCGCGAGATGCATAAACAACTTCATTACACGTCGCCCCTCGGCAAACACTTCCTTCGCATTCGTCTTCTTTACAATCCACGGTTTGGCACGTTGCCAGTCACCACAATCTCGACCGATTTAAGTGGCGGTTGAGGCGGTTGCCAGAGCGCGGGGACAGGGAAGCACTTCTGGTCTGCCTCCCTATGTTCCAAACTGACACCCTATCCCTCAGGCACCAACAAGCACTTCGGACCCATGTTCGGAGCAACACAAAAAACGAGATACACTTCAAGACGTGTTCGCCCCACGGCTCAAATCAAGGCTCTTGAGGCTCTAAGGGCCCAGCTTCGTGCGCAGCAATCGCTCCAGGAAGAGGATCTTGTCCTCACGGTCGACCCCTTTGGACCGCAGGGCCCACGCCACGCGCCCCAAACGCGAGCAGTCCTTGACCAGCGTCTTCCTGCGCTCCTGGCGGGCAACGGAAAGGGAGGTGCCCCTTCTCCAAGTCAAAAGCACGCCAGCGCCCAGGTCCTCCCCGGATCCTTTTCGATTGGCTGTCGAGTTTTGACCCTGGGAACAAAGTGGACTGGGGTAGACTTAGGGTACATTTTACATTCTACCAGTGACTCAAAATGAAGCAAACAATAAAATATGGGCCTAACTCTCCGCGATTCCCGTCTTCAGGGGTGCTGCAAAACTTACACGCTGCTTCCTCGCTCGCTTCGCTCGACTCGACGGCTCCTGCTGCTCCGCTGCGACCTGCTGCTCCCACTCCTGCCACTGCTGCCGGTAGGCCGGCGGCAGGCCCCGCTGCAGGCCCGGCTTGTCCGCCTCCTCACCGGAAGAAAAAAAAACTCGTGAAGAAAAGCCAAATGCGCGCGGCGCGTGAGGAACGGCAAGAAAGGTGAAAGGTGCACAAGCGCTGCGAGCACCGGTTTTGCGCAGTGCCTTGTGCGAGGCGGTAAAAGGTCGTCAGATTGGACCTTTCCCACCTTGGGACAACTTGGACCCCTCGACTCCGTCCGCGCCGTTCGTTCGACTTGGATCCTCGGAGAGCTTCATCAGCGCCAGCGTGGCCGCCAGGTGCTCCGCCTCCTTGGCAGTCTCGCAGGGCTCCTCACGGCCAGCTTGATGTTACATTTGTTTGTTGGGCTCTTTTATACTGGTTCTTGTGAGTGTGGTGTTGCTTTTCGTTGTTGCTTGTTTTTGTGTTGCATGTTTGCAAGGCAATGGGACGTGTTCGAAATGGAATTTCACAAGGGCCAGTGGAACTGTTGGTTCCCCTGAAAAGGCAACGGTTTGTTGATCCCCTGCAGATGTGCTGCAAACAAAGGCCTCTATTGAACACTCCGTTGTTGATTCGCCCGCGAGGTTGGCTTCCTGAATGTGCTTCCTCCACAACCATTGTTTTTTTCTCCTTTCAGATCCCTTGTCTGGGAGTGGCAGCACATACCGCTTGGTTCCTGGTGAGCAACCCATAGTGGCTTCTGCGGCCATTTCCCCCAGCGGTATGTCAAAGGGGTACAGGGCCTGCCCCACACGTCCACTAGTTGGGTGTCTCTTTCCAAGGCCGCGAATTTGGGAAAAACTCAAGGGAACACACCAAACTCTGGTGCATAGGTGGCCTTTTGGACATAGATGGCCCTGGCAACTGGAATAACCCCATCTAAACCAGGGCCCTCTATTTCTTAAGCAAACCAACCAAAAATGGACACCCATGCTATGGTGCGGTCCCCCCCCTTTTGAGACACGTCCCTCTCCCCGGGTCCTCCGGATCAAAGCGGCGCCGCCGGTTCCGCGGGAGCTGCACGGTGACGCGGGCGCGGTGCCCGCCTCCTCACAAAGCCCCGGCTGCTGCGAGACCAGCTGCGTGGGAATTCCGACCATTCTGAAGAATCGAGTTGCGTTTTGCTTTTTGTTGCGTTTTGGGTGGGGGGGGGGTTGGGGGGTTTAGGGTTTTAGGGTTTTAGGGTTTTAGGGTTTTGGGGTTTTGGGGTTTTGGGGTATGTGATCAAAAAGCATTCATTAAAATATGTTGTTTCTTGGAACACAGAAGGAATCTCCTGGTTTCTGACAAAGGGAGGGGCATGTCAACATGTAGAGGGGATCCTTAACTTGTTCAAAGAACTAGACCACGGTTGGCCCGAAAGCATAACATCGCAAGCGAGGTCGGCCCAACGCTGCAGGATGCGTTCTTTTTCCCTCCACGAGACAGCGCCAGGCAAGGTGCTCTGCGCAAACTGGTCGGTGCAAGTTGGTCTGCGCAAGTTGCTCTACGCAAGTTGCACTGTGCAAGTTGCTCTGCGCAAGTTGCTCCGCGCAAGTTGCTCCGGCAAGTTGGTCCCTGCAAGTGGCTCCCTGCAAGTTGCTCTGTGCAAATTGCGCTCCCTGCAAGTTGCTCTGTGCAAGCTGCTCTGTGCAAGTTGCTCTGTGCAAGTTGCTCTGCGTAAGTTGCTCTGCGCAAGTTGCTCCAGGCAAGGCGCTCTGCGCAAACTGGTCGGTGTAAGTTGGTCTGCGCAAGTTGCACAGATGCGCAAGTTGCACTGTGCAACTTGCTCTGCGCAAGTTGCTCTGCGCAAGTTGCTTTAAAATGCAAGTTGCATCTTGCGACGCCCGCCCGCGGACCAGCGAGGAATCGAACCCGCGACCCGCCGGTTCCGGGAGCAGGCGCGCGAACCACGAGACAACTCCCGGACCAGTTCGAACAACAAAAGTCGCAAAAAACCATGGGTTTTTGCACCTCGACCACGCCGATCCCCGCAGAGGGTCGCGCGGGCACCGCAGAAATCGCAAAAACCATGGTTTTTGCACCTCGACCACGCCGATCCCCGCAGAGGGTAGAAATCGCAAAAAACCATGGGTTTTTGCACCTCGACCACGCCGATCCCCGCACGCGGGAACTTTAGAAATCGCAAAAACCATGGGTTTTTGCACCTCGACCACGCCGATCCCCGCAGAGGGTCGCGCGGGAACTTTAGAAATCGCAAAAAACCATGGGTTTTTGCACCTCGACCACGCCGATCCCCGCAGAGGGTCGATTTTCGTGTAGTGTCGTCGGCACTACCCCGCCGCCCTAAGAAGAGATTTTAACTCCTCGCAAGTCAATTGCACTTGACTCCTTGCACTTGCAACTTGCACTTGACTCCTTGCACTTGCAACTTGCACTTGATTCCATGCACTTGCAACTTGCACTTGACTCCACGCACTTGCAACTTGCACTTGATTCCATGCACTTGCAACTTGCACTTGACTGCACTTGACTTGCCACTTGCACTTGCAACTTGCACTTGACTCCTTGCACTTGCAACTTGCACTTGACTCCTTGCACTTGCAACTTGCACTTGACTCCACGCGCAGCTCGCAATGACTCTCATGACTCCTTGCAATGACTCCTTGCAATGACTCCTTGCAATGACTCCTTGCAATGACCCCTAATGACTCCTTGCCAGCTCGCAATGACTCTCATGACTCCTTGCAATGACTCCTTGCAATGACTCCTTGCAATGACTCCTTGCAATGACCCCTAATGACTCCTTGCAATGACTCTCCTTGCAATGACTCCTTGCAATGACTCCTTGCAATGACTCCTTGCAATGACTCCTTGCAATGACTCCTTGCAATGACTCCTTGCAATGACTCCTTGCAATGACTCCTTGCAATGACTCCTTGCAATGACTCCTTGCAATGACTCCTTGCAATGACTCCTTGCAATGACTCCTTGCAATGACTCCTTGCACTGGCTCCTTGCACTGACTCCTTGCACTGACTCCTTGCAATGACTCCTTGCAATGACTCCTTGCAATGACTCCTTGCAATGACTCCTTGCATTGACTTTCATGATGATGATTCCTTGCAATGACACCTTGCAATGACTCTCATGAGAACAACTCAAGTGAACCCAGCGGAAGAACCCTTCGCCATGCCTTCGGGAAAAATATGTGACCCCCCAAGAATTAATTTCACCAAGTCGATTGTTACAGGGACAACAAGGAGTCCTGCAATCCACGACTCAGTGGCCTAGGCCTAGGATATCCGCGGATTGTGGGCTCTTTCTCCCATTCGATCATCGTTGAAAGACGCGCAGATTCTGGATGCAGGAATACCTTGTTAAGAAAAATATCGCCTCATTAATGAACAGGATCCGAGGTGAACCCGGAAGGATCGCCATGTTTGGCTATGTCAGAGAGACGGGTAGGGCGCGTCTGCTTTTCCAACCTCGGCCCAGCACGTTGCAAAGCTACTGGCCATTGCTTGCCCCGAAGATCTACGGGCCAACCATAGCAATCCCTGCCTCACGCACACATGGCAGCCAGTACGGAACAGTTCTTTGAACCAGGACCCCAAAAACTGAACCATCAACCTGCGCTTGCGCCCGCGCACCTCCTCAGCTTCCAAGCACACCCCAAATCCCAAATTTCCGGGTCCTGCTGGGACCTGGATCTTGGTGTACCGGCCCAGAGGCCCCTGGTGCTTCCCCCAGAACTTCTTCTTCACAAAGTCCTCCATCGCCTCGTGCCAGCTTCAACGACTGTGACTGAGTGCGGCTGCGCCAGCTGCAAAACAAAACATGTGGTGTCGCGACAGGGGGTCCGCTACCACCCCAACCCTCCATGATTGAGAAGCAGCCGCAGTGCGTCTGATCAGCAAAGCAGCATGTCTGGCGTCTCAGGCGTGGTGTGGTAGAAAAGGACTTTGTCACAAAAGGAAGTTGAAGCTGCAAGCCCTTTCAAATGTTACGCCCCCCTAGGTAAACTGGATGCCCCTCAAAACAAACTCACGCAAAAAGCAAACCCGAGCCGGAAAAACAGCCACGATCCCCAAACAAAACGATTCTCCCCCCCCCAAAGCAAAACACGCAGAAGCCTCCCCCCATAAAGAACCTATGTTCATGTAACCCAATATGCCAATATGGAGGATTGGAGGATGGATTGTCCCTGGTGGCTTGTGTTGACTGCGATACCTGCAAGGCGGTCTGCAAGCCTTTTTATCAATGTACCATGCGTCGAGTGACTGTACAATGACTTGAAGGGCCTTGAGCCATCATGTAAGCGGAGTGTGTGAATAGGTCAATGTGCAACAAAAAGCAACACAAAACAGACACACATTTTCTTTTGACCTTTCACACCGAATTGTATGATTGGCTTCTTGGCCTTACGTGCCGTAGCCATATGTTGTTACAATGATTCATCCTATTTTGGCGCGGATGATTTGTCCTGTGAGCAAAATGGAAAACAGTCTGTACTCATTCTGTGAAATACCTAGATGTATCGAAAAGGTGATGCACAACGCTATGTACACGCGGGACGGATGTGAAACGATTGATCTCTCACTGAATAGTTTTGTTGGCGGTGAGGATCAATCTTGTTGAAATTCGCAGTGCCGATCGTGGGTGTGTCTTCTCAGTCGGTCGAATAAGCGCCAAAGGTGGCTGCTTCATCAGGTGGTCAACGGTACCACCGACGGCTGCTGTCGAATTGGCTGCCATAGTCTCCATAATCATTCCAGGTCGAGTCGCCATAGTCTTTCCATTGCTTTGGATTGCCCCAGTTCTGCTTGTTGTACTCTTTGTACTCTTGCTGAGTCCAGGCTTGCTTCTTCTTGAGCTGCTCCTTGGATCTCTCAAAGTTGCGTTGCCTGGCGGCAGATCCGCTGACTCACCCCCCGGCCTCTTTGGGCGTGCGCCCGGTCCAACTCCCCAGGCCAAAGGCCCGGATCTGCGGCTTCGGCTCCTCGGACGTCGGGACCTTTCGAGTGGACAGCTGGGGAATGACCCCAGATGTGGGGGAATGAACCTGGGGGTTCCCAGGGAACCCAGCGGCTTAGTGCGGTGGGGACTGCCCTTCCGGGGGTTGGGAATGAAGCTAGGGATTTTATTCTTAAAGGAAACCCTAACAGATGGTTGATAGGGGGTCCTTCCCCCATTCCCTGCTGAGAACTGGCAAGAGAAGAAACCCCGTGACATGACGGGATGTCTCACAGGCAAAGGCCGCTATAAGGCTGACAAAACTAAAATCGGGCCCCTCGAATGGTGTTCACTTCCCCTGACAAGCGGCAACGATGTCCTTTTGGTTTCCCTTCAAACACACTATATACTCAGAAGGGGGCTTCCTACAATCTTCAGAGACCAATTTCCTGTGAGGAATGTGGTAGTCTGATACTTGGACAGCGACCAATTCAACCTAGAGAACACGCATCACAATTGGAATAGACTCCGGAGTACATGGGGTTTGTCAGGAAGCTCATTTGACCCGGATGTTTGGGGGGATTTCGCAAGGGTCTCTGAGATAGATGGAACATTCTTACGAATTTGCTATTGTTTTCCTTCAGAACCTTCTAAAAGGGGCTCTTTTTGTTAAGACGTACCGAGATGTGTTTTCCTTTGGAAAGCGTGACGCTCCCATGGGGTTTCTCTGCTATCTGCTGCACGATTCCTCCGCTGAATTCGGAAGGGTCCAGTTTGGGGAAGGGCAAACAAACGTGCGATCGGAAGCACTGACTGTGCTGGCCCCATGATGACGGCTTTGGGGGTCATATTTTATTTTAGTTTGGCAAATGCTCAATCATAATTCACCAGTTTCTGTTGCCGGGTGCTGAATAGCATAGGGGATGGGTGATGGTTAGTTCTTCCGCTGCCAAGTAAATGTGCAAGCCGTTCATCCACGATCAGAGCACTTCAGCGATGGTCAAAAACTACCTCCCCCCCCTTTCGCTTTCTTTTGTTGGACATGAAACAGCGTGAACTATTCAGCACCGAAAGGAGAATGCTCAAAGGAGAGCCCTGCTTTTTCAACCCCCCAACCAGTTTTTCACGGCCAAAAAGCCGCTTTGTGGTTGAAGCAACAGGGTCCTCCAAGAAAGCGCTTTGCTGGGCCAGTGAATTTCTTTGACTCGATGTGCAGATGTCTGGTTGAACCAGGATCCCCATGCTCAAAGTTTCCAGGGAACCCTGCAACCTCAAGGGCCTTCAGCCGAGCTGCAGCTTCGGACGGCGAAGCCTCATCGCCGTTCTCGAAGAGCGAGGGCATCTCGGGGTCCTCCAGAAAAAAAGAAAAGAAAAGTGTTGGTCATGTGTTTTTTTCTTTTTTTAAGTGCAAGGTCCCAGGTCTGTGAGAAGCTCACTTACTGCAAACTACCAAGCTCCATTTTTTCCAATTCGGGGCCAGGGTCCTCCTCGTCGGCGTCCTTCTTCTCGTCTTTCTCCTCATCAACTTCCTTCTCCTGCTCCTTGCCGTTCTCCTTCTCCTCCTTCGGGGCTTTCTTCGGCTTCGCCTGGGCGATCCGCTCCTGGCGGAATCAACTGCTCCCCGAACCCTGGCCTTTGCCGTCTCAACCGCCTCTTCCTCCCCCCCAACCCCCCAACCCCCCAACCCCCCAACCCCCCAACCCCCCAACCCCCCAACCCCCCCCCCCCACCCCTCCATCCCCCTTCCTCCCAATAAGTCCTGGTCCAAGGGCCCATACTTCCCCGACTCCAGCAGCTCCAGCTCCGACTTGCAGTTCAGCAGCTTGTTCGCGGCCTCCCGCTGCTTCTGCTGATCTGCGCTGATGTTCTGCCTTCGACACTTCTGGCGAGGGGCTTGGGGGAGCACGGGGGCCAAAAGGGACTGCTGACAAGACCAACCGCTGATAGGGCAACCCAAAAACCCTGACCACGCCACGGTGGTTTAAGAACGCCTGGGCCCTCCCTTCTCCCTCGGCCAAGGGGCTTGAAAGCGCCACGGCGCTTCTTTTCCTTCAACGCCTGGCGCGCAAAAACGCCTCTCCAACCGCCACAGATCTGTGGGTGTTTAGCCTTGAAAGGCGTGCAAATGAGGTCTGCAAAATCAAATATGCAACTCTCCAAGAACCCTCAAACATAGCTTTGGACCACTTTCCGGCACCCCGCAGTGGCAAGAGCGCGGCAGTCTTGCTTGACCACAATCGCTTTGGCCTGTTCTGACGCTTCTTCAGGGCTATCCAACTCCAGGCAAGCTACCCGCCCGTCAGTTGCGATCGCTTCGTGATCCTCTTGCCTGATATATGTGGCTCTGTAGGAGCTTGCGGGCGAGCTGCAAGCCCTTTCTGGATGGTGGATCGAGGCAAACCCTCGCCACTGGCTACCCCAGCCTGTGTATGTTTCCCTTCCAGTCCCTCGCAGTCCAAACTGCCAGCCCTCTCGCAAAACGCCTCCAAGCCCTGGCATCCCATGTCCCATCACCCTGGGACCCTACAATCTGCGCCACAGCAAGGCCCCAAGCTGCGCCCCAAGAAATGGGCTCCTCTCGGATGCTATAAGTATCCTTTGCACCGATTCGTTCAGAACCCAAAACTCGTTGGTCCCCGGTCCGCTGCTGCAACCGGTCTCCTGCCGGACCTGGCCTTCAAGACCTTGCCAGCGTCCTCGTACTGGAGGAAGACCTTGATGTACCTCAGCTCCACGTGTCAGTTGTGACCTGTGACCAAAGTGTCATGGGCTCTCTCGAGCCCAAAGTTGGGGGAGCCTCTTCGGAAGGCGGCGACGGAAACATGGGGGTCCAAAGCCAAATCGGCCCTATGTTTAAGCCTTCCACAAGCTGTACAGCGAAGTGCGGCGGCAGGTCGTAGAACCAAACTCAAGTAGCCCACATACACCAACAAAGAACCGGTGGCCACCACCCACCCAGCCCTCAAACGGCAACACAAAAACGGCCATCCGCCTTCCTTTTCGAGCACACCTGAAAGAAGCGCTCGCTCACCCTGCCATCCCCATGGCCCGAACCTGGCGGTGGGATCCTTCTTCCGCTCCAGGTGCAGCAACTCCTCGGGGCTCAGCAGCGCGTCCTCCTCCTCCGCATCCTGGCAATGGCCCAGGCGGGGCGCGGGGCAGGCGGACGGCAGGCTGACCGAGGTCGGCCGAAACCAGACGGGCAAAGTCACAAATCGGAATGGAACCTCTTGGTGCACAAACCTGATAGAGCCCACGAACCAAACGCAAAACACGTGCAACCCCAAACGCAATTCCCAAAGACATCCCCAACAACATGACTAGACTGAAACCTGAAAAGCAATCCGCACTTCAGAATTCAACACATCTCCAAAACCCAAAGAGTACCCAGAACCCCATCGACACACCGGCGACATATCAAACAACATTTCCCCACGCACACCCTCCCCTCCCCAACAGGCATGCCCAGGGATATCTTCAACAAACCAGGCCCCATCCCAAAGACATTCCCCACATTAAACCCCCAAAGACACAACATACCCGCATTGCCAAAAACACCCCCCGAAACGCAAACTTCCCAAAACCTCCCCAAAAGACATCCGAAAAAGACTGTGACAAAAAAACACCCCCATGAATACACCCAACAGCATCCCTCAACAGCCCCCAAAAACATATAACATCGCGTGGTGATGGTAATGATGGTGATGGTGTGATGAAGTGATAGGGTGTGATGGTGGCGCTGGGGTGCTGGCGGTGTTGGCAATGCTAGGTGATGGTGATGCTGCTGATGATGATGATCATGATGGTGATGGTGGCGTTGATGATGATGAACATGATGATGCTGGTGCTGGTGATGGTGATGGTAATGATGATGAAGATGATGATGATGATGATGATGATGATGATGATGATGATGATGATGATGATGATGGTGCTGGCGATTGCGATTGCGATGGTGATGGCCTGCAGCCTGAAGTAAATTCACCCTTGGCACCTTCAGGTCCAGCAAACCCCAAGCCCCGCCCACCCCTCCACCCCGCTCTGCGGCCGTGCAGCCTGGTATTGCTCCAGCCACCGCCGCGCGAAGTCCTGAAGAGTATTCCGGGCCCCTTGCCACCCGCGAACGGGAAATCCCGGGTGTAGCCCGAGGATTGTCGAAAACATGTTGGTATCTGTGGCCTCTGCTCTTTTTTCGCGCAGCAGCTGGTGTTTCCCCAAATTCCGTCCATCTTCTTCAGCGAAGGTCCTTTCCCCTGGAAGCACGGTATCCCCGCAAGGCCCTATGAAGATCTTTAAAGACTTAGTCGTAGCTACGACCCAACCATCTTTGGATAATCCTGGCATCCCCCCTAAAAACTAAGACCCTTGCCAGCGTGTCTATTGCAGGCGCCGCTGGAAACCCGCTGCAGTTTGATAGGGGCAGCTCGATTCTGTTTCAAGGCTCTATCAGGTGAAACCTCCCCGCCTAAGACCTGAAAAAAAGTTGGTTTGATAAGTCTAATAAGGCCAACTTCACCCTGTGCCCTCTTGTTGAGAGAGGGAGTGCAAAAATTATTAAAGAATCATCTTAAAGTAGGGTTTCTCTTTGGCTTCTTGAAACAAAGCAGGCACAAAAGCTACCGCCAACGAATAACACACACACACACACATATGACAGCGCCAGAAACCAAGTTGCAACTTGCCAACCTGTAGCAAGGTGGTCTTCATTTTCCCGGGTGCCAAAGAATCGCATCTATGTACATTTACAATTGCATATAAGATCAGCGCACACATACAATTTGCCAACCGAACGCAAAGCAGGCATTCTGAGAGACAAAGAGACAGAGAGAGAGAGAGAGAGAGAGAGAGAGAGAAAGAAAGAGAGAGAGAGAGAGAGAGAGAGAGAGAGAGAGGGACAGGGATAGGGTCCTTTTCCCACCATGAACAAAAGCTCCACTCTACTATATAGGCCACCCAGCCCTACACGGCCAAACTTAGTTTCGGAATTCGGACCAACTCCTGTGAAGTGCGTCGACCCCAAGCCTATGAGCCGGTCCTTGCCAGCCTCCTTGTCGCAGGCCGGCCGCTCCTGGCCCATTGAGTCAGGCTCAAAACGCGGCCATTGCCATCTTCCAAAAGAGGCCGCCCAACCCAAAACAACAAGGACTCCTCCTACCTTACGGTTTTTTTTTGGCTGGGGCCCCCTTGGCTCCCAACGTTTCACGGCCACCCCCCAGTCGCCTTGTCCTCCTTCGGCGCCTTCTCCTCCTTCGGCGGCTCCTTCTTCTCCTTCTCCGGCTCGCCTCACCGACAAGGACGGGACGGTCCAAAAGCAGGCGAGGCACAAAAACGTGCCCCAAACAGGCTGAAAGTTGAAGGTAGAGCAAGAAACCAAAAGAGGACCCATGTGCGACATGGGCAAAATCCTTAGAGCCATGGTCGTGGTCTCCATCGTAGGAATCCTTGCCAAGGTTATCTACAGCCCTACTGCACATGACCATCCCTAGCAACCCCAAATACAAGGGTCTTTTGCGCCATGGCACATGTGGAAAGCAAGCCATCAATCACCACAAAGCCATGCAACTGGGAACTGCCCGACGAAGGCTAGGGCAGCGGCTAGCTTTTGCCTTGGCTTCTTCGGCAGCTGCTGCCTCCTTCCCAGCCCAGCTTGGCTAGCGGGGCCGTTAGATCGGTATCCCTCTAAATACTGAACAGGGATCCTTACATTGTGCACCTGAACATTGCCTTGTAATTGGTGGTTTCCCTTTATTTGGGTGGGAAAAGCCATGCCTCAAATGGTTGCAAAATGTATCTTTTAAGGAGCCTGCTGAAGAGCTAAGCTTGAACTTCCATCCTTCACCATCGTTTTGAAGATGCCCCATGACGTGTTTCCACCCATATGGCTCCTCTTGGCGCACATGTTGGATGAACGTCAAGAAGGTCCAGGCCCAAGACCCACGAAGAGCACACGCACACACGCATGTCGAACTGGATATGCCAATAACATGGATGATCTAAGTCTCATTTGCTTGGAGGGAATAACACCCCATTGAAGAGCTTCTGTGGGTGGCTAGCGGCTCACGGCCACTTCCTTGCCAACCCACAAGCTGCACAAAAAAAAAACGGAAGAACCCAACAGAAAGGCCAACCTTTCCTCAGACAACCAAAAACATCTACAAAGCTAAGCCAACCAAACCTTCACCGCCTCCAAATCCCCCCTCCCTCCCCCCCCCCCGCTGCACCCACCGCCCCCCTTCGCGCGCGAATCCGCGCGAATCCGCGCATTGGCTCCTCCGCCGGGTCCGGCTGCAGGGCCGCGGCGCCGAAGGGCGCCTCCACCTGGTCCGGCGGCACGAAGCCTGGCCGCAGCTCGCAGGAAAAACCGGCGGGGGACGTGGAGAAAACGGGGGGGGGGGGGGGGTATGGTGGGGGGGGCTACAGATGCTGTTTTTGGGATGAATGAACGAAACATGGGACCAATTGGGTTCAAACATGTGGGCCAAGAAATGAACCACCCAAAAAGGAAAGAAGAGGTCCTACTGGTTGGATCGCTTCGGGAAAACGGTGGGGAGGCAAGTTGGATGCACTGTGTGGGTGCTTGGGTATGTGAAGCCATGCACTTGAGGTCGGATTGCCCAGGGTTTGAAACAACGGAAAGAGGAATCCGAAAAAGACTCTCCAAACAGAATCTGGAGCCAACATGGGTGTGCCCTCCCTATGAAAACAAACAACACAGAAGCCAGCAAGCGATTCTTTACCATGACTCTTGGGTAGACCTAACTATTAACACCAAATGTTCATCAAAGCATCTGTGAAACACACGCAACCCCCCGACTCCACTCACCACTTGTTTCCGACCTAAAAACATTGCGGGAAACTCGATGCAAGAAACTTGCACTTTCTCAGCAGGGAATCAGAAATGGAATGACCCCTATTAATCATTATTAATCGATCCCCGATTTGTTTTCCTTCAAGGGAATCTCCCTTCCGGTTCATTCCCAACACCCTATCGCACCAGGCAAGATGCTCCAAACCACTAGGTCCCCCAGAGAGGTTAGAATCAGGCTACCCTTACCCCTTTTCTGCGGCCTATTTTAGTGGGGGGAACCCCTCCCCCCAAAAAAGTGGGATCAAAAGGGGCACCGCCTGGAAAACCTAGACATCGGTTCTCGCCTTCCTCCGCCTCCAGCTCCGCCAGCGCCTGCTGGGGGTCGTCCCCCAAACTCTCCCCGCCGAAGTGCCGCGGCAGCTCCTCGCGGGACGAAATCAACGCCTGGATCGCCAAGCTGCTGCTTTATTCAGTCGCTGTTGCTGGGTTCTTGGGGTAAAGTGCAGCTGGCGAGCCAGGCGGGAAAAAACGGCCGGGGGGCGGTGGAACCGGGTTGATTTCATGCTGAAACCTGAAAAAACGAGGTCGAAACACACACACACACACACACACACACAAGTCACAAGGGGGAGCAAAAAAGAATGGTCGAGCAAGCACCAAGAGCCACCCCGGCAAAAAAGACGGCGCCCAAAAAAACAACAACAAGAATCGCGAGACCCTCGCCTGCTTGGGGATGTTCACCAGCAGCCACTCCAGCGCCGCCCGGGCGTCGTAGCCCCCGGTCTTGCCCATGGCTAGCCGGATCTGCTCGCCCTTGAAGTTGAAGGCCTGGGGCTTCCCCCCAAAAAAAGGGGGAAAAAGGCTTGGCACTGTTTTTTTTTGCGGCTAGTTCTGGAGGTTGGCTTTCCATCTACCTGAGAAAACAAAAACATACTTCTTGTGGTGATGTGGGTTTGGACGGCCCGCTGAATGCGTTCTACTTCATCGGGGTTCTTTCGGACACATACGATGGTCCTTTGGTGCAAGCTGGAACCTCCTTCATCAGAAACCGCTGACGGATTTTTCTTTTTGCCTTAAACAGAGAAGTGCGGAAGGGCCAGACTAGATGAATTTGGGACATGATCAAAGGCCATGGAGTGCTGTTGGCTGGGAGATTCTCTCACACATCGAAACAGCCCTCCATGGGAAAATCTCAGAAACGTGAAGGTGTGCCTTTGTGCAGCTCAGCTCCCTTTTCGCGGCGGAAACCATCACCGAACCCGCATCTCCAGTGTGGGAGCTTCATCTCCCCTAAACGGGGCCTCCAGGGCGGCATAGATGGCACTGACGCGCTCCCAGGTGAGCTTTCCCTGGCCACCAGCGGCCGAATTCCCGACTGGGCGGTTCGAAGCGGAGGCCAAGAGGAAGTTGCTGGAAAGGAGACCCCTCGTCGACTCGTGCAACTCAGGAGGAGTCAGGATTGTCGTTGAAGAGACCGGTTTGAACTCCATCCAAGGGGGGTCTCTGTGTTAAGACACCTGTTAAAAAGGCCTGTGAGACAGCCTCATTTGGAGGAATGCTCGGATTATTGGAGGGAGGTTCCATCCGACCTTCTGCTTGACTGCTGTTTGGGGAAGATCACTTGAGTGAGAGATGTTCAAACATTCCTACCAGCAAGTAGTCGGGGGCAGCCATCCAGCAATGGGGTGTGTCTCAAAATAGGGACCCGGTAAACGGAAGGGCTCCCTTTGATGTCCATGTAAAATGAACGCCAAAAAGGCACCCTCACCGAAACCTCTCAAACATAACTCTGTTTGAATTACTTGTCTACCTCAACCAACCTATAAGACTACAAGATCATTGATGTCCATGCTCTCCAATGTCGAACTCCTTAATGCAAATTCCGATAAATGGGCGCTTCCTACATGAGGGGCCCCAATTAAATGCAAAGGTTTGCTTTTTGCCTTAGCTCCAAGAGATGATGGTTTCCTTCTGGATTTTGTTTGATTTATTTTAGTTTCCTGTTGTTTCCTTTTAGTTTCCTGTTGGCTTCCTTGTCCTTTTGGCTTCCCTGTGCCTTCCTTCTGGTTCTCCTTTCGACACTTCAAAACCACCACCAAAGCCGGGCACCGGAACCACCCGTCCCATCCCCGCTACCGGCTCCGTTCCCTCCGCCTTGAAGCGCCAAGACCTCGGCAGCACCGGGCGCAGATGCCCGTCCTCGCCCCGCAGAGGAGCCAACGCCGCCTCCACCTCGGCGCTTGAGGCGACGAGCGCGCGCTTCGAGCGGAAGTAAGTTCACCCGGGCAAGTGGGGGCCGGTTGGGTCGGGGGAACTTGAAGAGGCGGGCAAGGGCGGGGGCAAGGAGGGGGCAAGGGGGGGAAGGGGGGGGGGTTCAAGGGAAGGCAGGATCCGACAAGAAGCTTCTACGCAGGACCATGGTGACCACGTGATGATGAGTAATATGAAAATAGGGCCCAACCTCATACAACATGAGAACACGGTCAATGGGCCCATGATCCGCCAACATCCTCTGAGGCACCTGTCCTTGTTTCTTCAAGACAGGTTGTTCTTTCCCTTTACGCATCACCCCGACCAACGGACACCTGGGAAATGGCAACCAAAAGACGACGTCTAGAACTAAGTGGACGCAAACGGAGGGCAAAATAACGGATCCCAGGCTGGCCGTTGCGTGGCGCTTCGAAATTTGGACTGGGTGGAAAAAGGGGAGGCAGCCACTTTGAAAACTCCAAGCACCAATACCTCCCCGTGGCTTTCAAAACATACATGGTGAATTCGGGCTGGTGCTGGTCGCGTTCACAACCCGATCTCACCAGATTCTTCTTAGCTTCCTTTCATTAGTCAATGTCCTGAGTGCCCTCAAACCTCAAACTCCAAACTGATTGATACGAACCGCATTTGTCTCTGTTACCACATTGTTCTTTCAAGAACACACAACAAGAAACTGCGTCTCTTTGGTTGAAAGCCAGTTGTTCCTGCAGTTCCAACAAACTTCTCTCTCTTTGGCTAAAGCCTATTATTATTTTTATTTGTATTTTATTTATTTTTTAAAAAAATAAAATAAAATAAAAACGTGTGGGGGATATGTTCGGCCCCGTCTTTTCCCTCCAGCCCTCGCCCGTGCGAACTCTTCGCCCCGGGCCTTCTGCTCCGCGAGCTTGTTCAGCACCACCACGCCGGCGGGCGGGTACCCGCCTGGCGCCCGGCGGCGCCCGCCCGGCGGCCGGTTGGCGGACCGGTTGGACCCGTGTGGGCCTTTTCCCTTTAAAGCAAGGCCGGCAGAAAGACGGGCCCCCCCCCAGAAAGAGGACCCGTTTGGGCCTCCTATCAAAAATAGAAGAAGAGAAAAGAAAAAAAACGAAAACAAAAAACAGGAAGAGGGCTGCCCTTCAAGAAACCCAAGCCCAAGTGTGTTTTGTTGCTTTGGGTTCAAGAACTTGGAAACTCTATAACCCTTACAGGAATCTGGAGAACCTAACAAAAGGACGACTTGACCCTTGAACGGCGGAGGAAACCTCAAATGCCAAGATTGCGAAATACAAGAGAATGACAAACGTGTAGAACAGGTTGTAAAAGCAAACACAAAACAAACTAGAACAGTTTTGCTGCTTCTTTTGTACGGAACGGGGGGAGGCTTCTATGTTTAATGTTTAATGTTGAGACCGGAAAAGGCAAGAACATGTCGATCATCGCTGAACACCAACTTCACTGTTGGAAGGGGAGTTTCTGGGCTTCTTAGCTTCCTAAAGTCTTTGAGGATACCCAAGTCGAAGGCTATTGAACACGCACGCTGACTTGCGATGTAGGTCAACAAAGGTGGCCTCTTGCTGACACCCGGCTGCCAAGAAAAAAATCGATTTGGACAACACCCCGGTTGGCCTCCGTTCCATTGGCAAACCAAATTGGTGAAAACGGTTCACTCAAAGTTGGCACATCTGCACAGGGTTTGGGGGGTTCCAAAGTAGGAGTTTTTGTCGGGACTTGTCTGTCCAAATGTCACGTTCGCTCCATGTAACAAAAGTGGTCCGACTATGCGCGATAGCTTTAAGAAGCCAACGACGACAGTCCACTCATTTCGAGGGAAAACAAACTTTGGTGGGGGGTCTCATTCTGCGAGAACTTGAGCTTTTAGGCCCCGCTTTCTCCTCTCCAAACCTTCATTTTGCCAGCTAAGGCCACTCTCTGAGCTCTCAGGCTCGCAAGAAACGCCAGGCTAGAGCAGGGGGGAGACCTCCCTTTAAATCACATCAAAAACAAAGAATCCCAGCCCCCACAGTTCCGTTTCTGCTTGTGAGACTTGAGCTAACACTGGGAATGCCCAGGGTTTCCCTTTGAACACTTGCCGTCGCCAGGTGTAGGAAACGCCAGACGAAGACACACGCTCCAAACGTGCCTTGATTCTCGCTCACCCAGATCTACATCTATCACTGTCTAGCCCATGTTCAAACCTTCCGCGTTGCTGTGGAAGCTGAGAGAAGGTACGTAGGGGACCAGGTTCCAGCTTCTGTCAGTTTCCATGGCAACATGGAAGATAGAGTATGACTCACAGATTGGGACCCGAGCTCGTTTTAGCCCCAGATGAGCTCGTCACGATTGCACCATGGGATCACGCAAGACCGCCGCAGCCAAAATCGCGCACCAGCCTGTCCGTCACCCATCCCATCACAAAACCACTTGCAGTGCATCGAACCTGTGCCGCCTCTACCAGAACCTACCTTTGGGGAGTCCTGGAGTTGGCAAAGGGCTCCTTTGAATCCAACAGAACCACATCGTTTTCGGGGGCCCAGGGCTTCCCCCCTCAACCCTCTCGGTTTATCCCTGCCTCTTCTTTCCAGCTGGCCAGCAGCATCGGCAGGGATCACTTTCCTGCACCAAAGTCACGCCACGTCCGCTCCGCCTCTCTGTCTTCTTTTGAGCTTGGGGGGCGGTTCCAAGAGAAACGGCCGCAGGAAACCCATGAAATTTGAGGGTTCCCCAACTTAGAGAGGCCCTTCGGGATTGAGGACGGCAATCAAAAGGGGGGTCCGCCGGTTTGGTTTTTGCGTCGACCTCTGACGAGTCACACACCTCGGCTGGTTGACATTTCCTCAGGCAGCCAGGAAAGCCCGACTGGCCAGAGAGCCAAAATGTCAAGAAGGCAGAGAAAGCCAAAGAGGGAACAATCAGAATAAGACAAACACAGAACATCCGAACAAGCAGCGAAGTGAGAAATGTTAAAGGCTGTTAGAGCACCTTTCATGGTAGGGGTGAGGGTAGGGACATCTCAGAACCAGAATGCCAGGAGCCGGCAGAGGACTGTCAACCCCTTGAGAGGTGACAAATTCTCCACTCGCCATCAAGTCACTAATCACTTGCCAGGCTTTTCAACCTGAACCCCGGACGCTAAGCCAACAGTCTCAACAAAATGTCTCTTCAAACATCAAAACATCGCTTCCTGAGTTGCCCCTCAAATGGTCTTCCCAAGACCAAAAGTCTCAGAACTTCGGGGGGTAAGAAACCCAAAACCAAACAAACACTCTGGAACAAGATTCCTTTAGCAAGTCCCAGAACTTCAGTCCTAGTGAATTAATTTACCCCCAAGATTCCCTACCCGAAAATCCGGGTGAGTAACAGCAAGCCGCTTGCCGAGACACCCCGCCCCCCTTCCCGTCACTTGTGCCTCTCCAACTTTTGGAGCTCCTCTTTGAGGCGTGCATCTACCGCCTGCTCCCAT